ACAGACATTCTATACCTAGGAGAGTTGTCAGCAGCCAAGAGAGAGAGGACGAAGTTCAAGGCCTGGGCCTGTTATGAGCTGAAGTTACGACGAGTCACGACCTGAATAGCTCACTAATAATTTATTTCCTTAAGTTCTTAAGGAAGTAGAGACCCAAGACAAATCGTTGAGAACGCCAAGAGCTACGAATGCCATTACACCATCAGAGGCATTTAAGAAGGGAGAGTGCCATAGCGCCATAGAGGCACTGAGCAAGTAACTAGCTTGAGCAAGAGATTTATGAATACGAGTGAGTTCTCATTCGACCAAGAACCACACGAATTGGAGGGAAGGAATCATATCTCAAGGTTGTACAAAGTAAATGAAGTATAAATCCCTGTAGTGGGAGGATTACCTCAAGTGGACTTTGGGTTATCAAGATGAACAAATTTCGAGGTCGAAATTTTTCTTAAGGAGAGGGGAAATGTGATATCTCGATTCTGGACTTGGGTTCAACAACAACTACCGGGAGAATGGGTCAACATGTCCGGTCAAATCAGTATTTTGTTTCATCACTTTTGGATCAAGTTGTGAAACAAAAGGGTAGGGAGTCACTCAAGGTTACACGAATGCTACCAGCTAAGGAAATATAAATGATCAAAGGTTACCAATGAAGTTGTTATGGTAAGAATAAATGATTGGGGGAAAGAAGTATACGAAGGGTGTTGATAGAAGGGTGTTGATAGAAGGATGAGGTTTGAGCAAATTTCGGGGACGAAATTTTTATAAGGGTGGAGGAAATGTTACACCCCGACTTTTTGGTTCAGGTTCGACCATAGTAAATGAACGGTTGGATCGACGGTTACATACAAAGAGTTACAACCATAATTTGGAGATAATAATAACATTAATAACTACAATTATTATTATCCTTATTATTATCATTGTCATTATCATTATCATAATCTTAGTCATCATCATCCCACCCGTTACACCCATCCAAACCACCCCAGTCTCGGCACCATTAAGAGGAGCCAATTTTTTTTCATCTTCCTTCTGCCGCTCAATCAACTCGTCAATTCCCTTCCCTCACGATTGAACTAAACCCCGGTCATGTATCCAAGGGTGCAAGCGATCTCTTTGTGGATCATAAAATTGGAGAGAGCCAGTTCAAGTGGGAGGAAAAGGAACGCGATGGTGAGAACGAGATAGAGCCAGAGAGATGTCGACCGGAGTTGGGGATGGATCCATATAGAGGTGCTTCTGTACGTATATAGAGGTGCTGATTGAATCTTTGATGGACTAGTTCAAGCATGGCTTCAAGCCGATCGATGGTGGCGGGTGATCGTACGTGACCTGCCAATTGGAGGTGGATGATGATAGGCGATGGGGTGATGTACACGACTGTTGTTTCCTAGTTAAACTGAGGTAAGGGGTTTTCCTCCCTTTATAATCGTGATCGCTATGTTGGGGATGCGTTGGGGAAGAAGCAAAATCCTGATCTTGAAATTTCCCCATGAACCCTTGATGGAATTCTCAAGTTAATGGTGGTGGGAAGGATTTTCATGTGCACGAATTTATGGATGGGTGGTAACGAGTAACGTGGGATGGGTTACTCATGTTGCAATTGAGTTGCTTTATTCCATTTACTAACTACGGACGTTTTCTGGATGACACGGCACGACGAGGTCAAGATAATGGAATTCAATGACGAGGATGAGCAAGCCGATCCGAATTAGAATTTTCAACAGTAAAATAGGTGAGTGTAAAGGGGGTAAATTCTACGCCTTACGTATTCTTTTATGTTTTATGATTTTAAGTATTTTAGTGAATTGGTTATCGTTGCTTGGTTATGTGTATGATTGATTAGTTGTGCTTTGCTTGAGTTACGGTTTGAGATGATTTTGTGTTATTTGAGGTGATTTTGTTTGAGTTGTGCTTGAAGTGAATGTTTATTAATTACTTTGAAATTTTTACGAGTATAAGTTATTATTAAAGAGTAAGAAACAAGGTCTTTTTAAGAAGTAACTCACCTTCAAGAAGGTGAAGTCGTTTTAAGTGTATTTAGTCACTAGCGTCAGTCCGTTGCCTTTTGAGACAGTTTGAGATAGAGCAGCAGTTATGCTCTTGAGATTTTTAAGATGGGCAGCAGTATGCCCTTGAGAATCGTGGTGAAGAGCCACCATGATAAGTTTAAGATGTTAGGGGGATGAATCGTTACGACTTCCCTAACTAAGTTTAAGTTTAAGGAAAGCCTGGATGGCTTCTCATACGTATGAGTTGGCAACCGGACTAGCTAGTGAGGGATCCCAGCGTCAGTCAATTATTTAAGTCGAGATTTGAGTTTAAGAGAGGAGAGTAACTTCAACTCCCTCAAAGTTTAAGAGTTAAGATTTTAAGATCGGAAGCACAAACAACTTCCACTAGTCAAAGTTAGGTGTTTAAGTAAAGTACTCAAGTATTAGAATTATTAAAACGTAAGGGCGTAGACTGACCCCATCTCACTCACCAGTTTGAAGAGGACTAAGAGGAGTTAGAGAGCAGCGAGTTCGAGTGAAGCTAGCTAGAGGAGGACGGTACGAGCGTCACAGAGGATGTCTAGTCAGAGTTTTTCACACAAGCAGCAACACTTGAGACTAGTTAGTTATTATGTTTTATGATTATGAGTACAGACTGGAGATTATCTTGAGATCAGGTTGAGATTTTTAAAGTTTGAGTTTAATTTGCCCACGTGTTAGGGCTTTGCTTCGAACTTCAAGTGTGTCTCAGTATTTTTATTTATGTTAAATTTTTCCCGCTGAAATTTAAGGTTTGAGTATTTTATTTATCAAGGGCATTTTAGTAAAAGTAGTACCCGGCCGGGTTAGGGTGTTTCATTGACTGCCACGTAATAAGAATTTTTCCGCCTCAACATAAATTTTGCCAGCTCACAATTATCTAACGTAAGTGTTAATGGAGACTTAACATTTGACTAATAATTTGTATTTCGATAATTATGGCTATAATTTTGAACACCTTAACAATTCTGTCAAATATATTGTATTTACCCTAATTTTTAGTGGGGCTAAACTAGACTAAATTACCCAATCGACTCGGCCAATTTTCCAGTTTGATTAATTTTTGTGCATAACAAAAAAAGATGGAGGATCCGGTGAGTAAGGGGGTGCTTAGTCACTTGACTAAGCCCCTCCCAACCCTTAGATCTAGACACAACAATCAGACGGTTAAAAAGTGGGAAGGGCTATTTAATTAATGACAGGGTAGGTTGGGTATTATGGAAAATTACGAAGTATACAAATCTGGCTTACAATCAGTACAAACCATACAAACATAAAAACAGTACAAACTAAAATGACAAAACATACAAACAAATTTACAAACATTACAAACATATGAACTGTACAAACAATACAAACTAGAATGACAAACAATACAAACCATACAAAAAAGAAAAAACAACCTGGTTGACTTTGGAGGCTCCATCCCTATATAGAGGGCTTCGTCCGGAAGTCTTCCCGGTTGTTTTTTGGACATACAAACATTACGAACATGGTGGACAAAAATGACAAACTAGACCGACAATCCATACAAACTAGAAAAAACACCCCAGTTAACTTTGGAGGCTCCATGCCTATATAGAGGAGTTTCATCCAAAAGTCAACCAGGTTGTTTTTTAGACATAAAAAAACTTACAAACATGGTTGACAAAAATGATAAACATGGTGCACAAAAATAACAAAGCTTACAAGCATTACAAAAGAAACCGACAAACATTACAAAATAACAAAGCGTACAAACCTTACAAAATAAACTGACAAACAGTACAAAGCATACTAACCGTACAAAATGTCACTAAAAATGACAAACAAGAATGATAAACAATACAAACCGAATCTATACAGACATTACAAAATAGATCAACAAACATCACAAATCTAGCACTGTCGTCGGAATATTCTTCTTCGTCGTCACTGGTCGTCAGCAAAATCTCTCTCTCTCTCTCTCAAAGGAAGTTTGGAAAATTTCCAGGAAAGGAAGCATGTTCCTAAAAAGGCAATGTTCCCAGAAAAGGCAAGGCCGCCGGGAAACTTGGCTGGCCGGCGCAAGCGACGGGGACAGGACGCAGTGAGTAGCCGCAAGGAAGATGGAGTCAGGACACTATCAGATTTATTTTATTCATTTTATAATTAAAAAATTAAAACAATAATCATGCAATTACTACATTGCCCTTCATTAAATTAGATTAATTGGAGCCCTTAAATTTTAATGAAATTGAGTGGGTGAGATTCATTTAACCATGTGACTCTTTTCGTGAAAGAGATCGGAGATCCGGTCTTATTGATTCATACGATTATCATACGTCTTTTCCCACTTCTCCTTTTTTCTTTAACATGCTAGTGCCCGGATCTCGTTATCCTATCTTTGATACTTCCTTAATGCTAGCTTTAAAGGACATGTTTGACAAAAGAGCTTTTATTTATTATAGTGGAACTACCAGTATAATACGATAACCTACTGTTAGCATATCAAGATTGGATGATGATGAATTTGAAGTATTTACTAAATAATATAGGGCGAGTATGTCGGCGAGTGGAGTCCACAGAGCATGTTGGCGAGTGAGTCAAACAAATGCCATGGTATTCATAGTGTTGCTTCTTTTTCGCCCAATTCTAAGAAATAAAAATCCGTTAATAAATGACGAACCCCATTATACAGATGATATGACAGGGCTAAGGCAGTAATCTCGACGGAGATTATCACTCACTCTTCTTAGTTCTCGTTCTTCACTCGCTAGGTCGGGAGATGAAAAATAGTCCTTAGGCCTTGGAACCCTAAAGTATTTCTGTCTTAAGACTTCTCCTCTCCAGGAATTTATACTTGTAGGAGTAATAGCCTCATACTCGTCGAATACCCGTTGAATACCGGAGCTCATGCCTTATCGAGCATGTTTTCTCATTTTGAAAGTACTTTATTCTGCCGCAGCAAATGGTAATCACAATAAGGATTTTAATAAAGACGATTTAGTTACTTCTTCTTTATTTCCCAGATCCTAAAAAGAAGATAAGCTGTCAGGAGCGATAGCAGCTCGAACGAATGTGAGAGGATCTAACTAATGCGTTATATAGCATTCCTGTAGTCTCTATCCTCCGTCACTCTATCATTAGCCTCGCTCCACTAGCTATTAAGAAGTTTCAATAGGCACTAGTCTATCAGTCGGTGCGTATGCTGCGAAAAAAACAGGTGTATTTTGTTCGTTTCCTTCCACAAAGATGCACTTTCTCTTTCTTTTAGTTTCTTTCTTCTAGCTTGTCAATTATTTAACTCTCTATCAATCAGCAGAAAGAATTGTGGTTTCTACTAATTAGCCGGAAAGCGCTTTACCGGAACTCTGACGTTGATCTCGCTATAGTAGGAGGAAGCAAGATGAAACGGGAAGTGGTTTGTCGATTACTTGGTGAAAGGAAGCTTCTTTCGATATTTCTTGTTCATCTCTGCTGAAAACAGCTCTTGCCTCTTCCCGCTGATCATGCAGCAGCATAATCAGATTAGGGTTTGTACCGTCTCTTTTCGTTCTTAATTTTGTGAGAAACTGGAAATCGAAGTGCTCTTTAAGTTTGTGTTTTTGCCACTCGGTCTTTACTTGGTGGTATGCTGGCCTTGGATGGTTGAATCTGTCCTCTTCCTTTTGTCGGTTACTAAATGCGTAATGGGTTCTGGCTCTGGTGGGGAAATGATCGAGTTTGAATTGTGATCCCACTATGGTTGCTTTGACACTTATAAGTTTCTTGTCTTCTCTGGTATAATCAATTTAAGACCTTCTTTCTCGATTCTGTAGTTGAATTCTTGTTATTGGTATGGTTGTGCAGCCTTTATCTAAAGCTATAAGAAGCTGCTTCTAAAGTTCAAGTTTTGACCATTGACCAGTCAGAATCTGGTATGGAGTTCTACTATCGACTTCATAAGTTCTGTCAACTGGAGTCAAGAAAGTGGCTCATCTTTGTTGGGGCAGTCGCCATTGCTCACTTACTGTTTCAGCCCCTATTGTTTCCATATGGATACGCCGTTCGGACTCTTCTTCCCACAGCCCGTGATCCAGTATTTGATGAAAGCAGGATGATCGGGACAGGGCAATCTTCCATCAAGTCTGGAGTGGCACGGAATGCTTTAGCAGTTGATGCATCAAGTGAGTTGAAAATTGGCCTTTTTGCCCAGAATGAGACTAAATCTGATGGTGCTGGAGACGTTAGTCATGTCAGTGAAGTGAAAGGACATGGTGGAGATACAGAGAACGGTTTAGCATCGGAGGAAGTAAACTTGGATGATGATACTGCTGAACTTGCTGTAGATAGAGATGTCGTTGATGATGATGATGACGAGGATGATGTTCGGTTAGAGAATATAGTTGATGGAAATGAGGTTACTCAAGAAAAAGATTCTGTTCTAGAGTTGCCCAGTGAAGCCAAAAAGGGACTTCCTCCTGTGCAAGATGTAACTAGCAAGACCAGTGAAGCCCCTGCAGCTTTGTCTCAAGCTGTACCTCCAACTACCGGTGCTAGCCATTTGAAAGAAAGCGGAGCCTCCTCTATTGGTCCTGCAGTTGTTAAAGGTGCCTTTACCACTTCAAGGAATAATTCTGCTGGAGTTAGTAACCCTGTGAAGAAAAAAATTAAGGCTGAGATGCCACCAACGTCAATTACAACATTTGATGAGATGAACCAGTTGTTAGCCAGAAATCACCGGTCTTCACGGGCAATGGTATGAACTTTACTTGATTAGGCATGAAATCTAATGTGGTCTCTTCATTTGAATCAGCATATTTAGACCAGTTTCATATTTCTTTGTAGAGACCAAGATGGTCCTCTGAACGTGATCGGGAGATTTTGGATGCAAGGTGGCAGATCGAAAATGCACCTGCCGTGGTTAACGATCCAGATCTTTATGCTCCGCTCTTCAGAAACGTTTCACAGTTCAAAAGGTAACCACCTACATCAAGATACCAATTGCTAGTTAGTTCCAGGAGTGTCACTATGACAAGTTACCCTGATCTGTTTTGTTTTGATACAAGATGATGATAGCAAACTAGAAAATAGAGTGAAAACAAGAAAATGGGATTGGTTATGAAATAACCAACTATTAAGAATGAGAAATGTTGAACCTTCCATCTCTAGTTCAAAATCATTAGGCAGGTTGTAGTTGCAAATCGTTGCTTGCTGTGAAGCTTATTCTGCAGTTTCATTGTCAGTATATAATACTCGACTTTCGGGTCTGAAATCACTATGGATTGAGATTTCATATCTAAATCTCTCTGGTCTGTAGCGAGATATGAGATGAAGCATGAGGCTGTTAGGGCTAAGCCATTAAGCTGTGATCTATCCAAATTCAGCAACTAAAAGTTTTGGGATGATAGGTCTTTTTTGTCAAATTAGTTATTGAAAAGTGTCATTGGTTGACCTGGCATATCCTATTCTCATGCCACTTCATACTTCTAGGTGTTAGACGAGTTTTTATTAGGCAACTTCTTTTGTTCCTGCGTCACTGATTCACCTGGCTAGTTGAACTCGTATTGGCGTAATTTTGTTGAGAACTTATCACTGGAACTGAAAATTGTTGGGAGCCCTTAAGAGGAGCTGTAATCTAGAACTTCCTCTTTGCTAAACTTTTAGGAGTTATGAGCTCATGGAACACACACTCAAAGTCTATATCTACAAGGATGGAAAGAAACCTATCTTTCATCTACCGATAATGAAGGGATTGTATGCTTCGGAGGGATGGTTTATGAAACTAATGCAGGGAAGTAAGCAATTTGTTGTGAAGGACCCCCGAAAGGCTCACCTGTTCTACATGCCATTTAGTTCACGAATGCTGGAATATACGCTGTACGTACGAAACTCTCATAATAGGACAAATCTACGGCAGCATCTGAAGGAATACTCAGAAAAGATTGCAGCTAAATATCCTTTCTGGAATCGAACTGGTGGAGCAGACCATTTTCTTGTTGCCTGCCATGATTGGGTATGTTCCTTGCTTAACTTATCCCTTCATTAGCTGCAACTTCATGGGTTGGTGATGTATGCTATTGTTTATCATACTCTTGCAGGCTCCATATGAGACGAGGCACCATATGGAACATTGTATTAAAGCCCTCTGCAATGCTGATGTCACAGTAGGCTTTAAACTAGGAAGGGACGTATCTCTTCCAGAGACATACGTTAGAGCTGCAAGAAATCCTCTCCGTGACCTTGGAGGGAAGCCACCTTCTCAAAGGAACATTCTTGCGTTCTATGCCGGAGGCATGCATGGATACCTTCGTCCAATTTTAGTCAAGCAGTGGAAAGACAAGGACCCCAACATGAAGATCTTTGGTCCTATGCCTGCTGGTGTAGCGAGCAAAATGAACTACATCCAACACATGAAGAGGAGCAAGTACTGCATCTGCCCTAAGGGCTACGAGGTTAACAGCCCACGAGTCGTGGAAGCCATCTTCTACGAATGCGTGCCGGTTATCATATCGGACAACTTCATTCCACCACTCTTCGAGGTCTTCAATTGGAACGCCTTCTCGATTATACTCCCGGAGAAGGACATTCCGAATCTGAAGGAGATTTTGGTCTCCATACCAGCGAAGCGATACATGGATCTGCAGCTCGGGGTCAGGAAGGTTCAAAGGCATTTCCTTTGGCATGGTAGGCCTCTGAAATATGACCTCTTTCACATGACCCTTCATTCGATCTGGTACAACCGAGTTTATCAGATAAAACCACGATGAGAGCAATAGAAGGTTTTTAAGGGAAGTGAAGTATATCATACTGTCTTGGTTTCCAAAGAAGTTTGTGCACCAGCGTTTATAAGTCGGTATCCATATGAAGGATTTAGTTTCTGTGTACATAGCTATTGTAGAATTTTTTGTTTTTTATCTGATTTGTTGTCCCAATTGATTTTGATTCTCTTGGTAGAATTGTGGGTAAAATACCTCGAATTTGAGAATTGGGGTAGACATACTTCTTAAGTTTGAATAGGGCGTCGAGTACTACTAAAGTCGACAAAATATACATCCGTCTACTTTTCTATCTAATCCAAACTTTTAATTATTTTTTGGTACCCAAAATTTTTAAAAATATTCAAAAGCATATTTCAACAAGTTTTATTTAATATAAAATTAGAATATCTTCTAAACATATTATTACTAAAATGGTTAATCAAATTTTTTTCATAAAATAGATAAATTAGTAAAAATATTGAATTAGTATTAAGAAAAATAATAAGTACACTAGAATATAATAATAAATATTTAAAACTAATATTAGAATATTTATTTAAACACTTTAATTTAATTAGAAGCACCATTAGAAATAGTTAAAATAGAACCTAATCGATCATTAATAATCAAAACAAAAGAAAGATAAATGGGACACAATCATAAGGAAAAGAGATATTCCACTCATTGAAAAAACATTTATAAGGAAAAGAGACGGAAAGTAGCCAAGTAATAAATGAACTATTAAAGCTACAACATTCCGTAAAAAATGTAGAAAATAATATATGAATATAGGAAGAGAATTAGAATTACTAAATTTAACTAATATGAAACATTTACAATATAATATTAGAGAATTAAAAAGAGATTAACATGAAAAATTAGACAACATCACCATGATGTAAGAGAACCAAATATAACATTCTCAGATTATTTATATCGAGATAGAATTCATAAGATATATTTGTTTCAGAAAATTATTTAAGAACAAATAATTGATAATTGAAAATTAATTGATTCTAAACTTTCTATTAAAAAATTAATTTGATATAAAATATTCAAAAGAGGATTTCAATTAAACAATAAAAAATTATGTTTTCTATTAGTCCAAATAGTTTTTTTACAATAAGAAAAGTAGAATGACATATTATGAATTTTAGAAAACGAAATATTTCAAGAATATTCTGTCAACTTTAACGCAATGCACATAGCAGTAAACTTAAGTGGTACCGGGTGCTCATATAATAGAATTCAGTGGTACCCGACACCCTATTCAAATCTAAATGGTATGTCTACCCCAATTCTCAAACTTAAGTGATACCCGAAGTATTTTACCTTAGAATTGTAAACATTCAAATATCGTAACCACAGTCCTTCGGAGTGTTGAGCATATAGATTGTATTGATAAGGTTGAATGAATGCAGGAGTTGCTTTTCTTCATTGTCCAAACTCCAAAGTCCAACTTCTTTTTCCTTCATCAGCCACTTAGAGAAGGAGAAAACTCAGCAGTCTTCAACTGGAAGTCGTTGCAGATCCGCCATTTTCTTTACAATGATGGTGACTTGCAAGTTTGTGAAACGGTTGTCTCCTTTTGCAGTGCTCTGATGGCCACTGAAGCAGAGTCTCTTGGAATGAACGACTTGCTCGATGAAAAGATCATCATCAATATTATAATGGGGATTCGGTTGCTGGGGTTGGAGTGTTATTGATACTTTTCCTTCTGATCGAATCCCAGTTGCTGTCCAAGACCACCCTCATGGCTGAAACCCGTTACGCCACGTGTCCTTTGTCGGTCGTCCAAATGGCCAACCGTGACCCCAAAGGCCCAAACATGAATGCAACTTTCCCGCCGCCGCCGGAAAAGGTTGCGGCGAGGTTGGGCTATCGGCAACAGCTTGATATGTGGAAGGAATGAATTGCTTGGGAAATATACTGGTGCTTTTAAAATCGAAAGGGTCAGTCGTATCGTTGCACGAAACTTGAAGTGGATATTGCCAACCAGGGATAGTTGGATAGTGCTAAACGTTGATGTCTTGTATGCTAGGAACACTAAGATGTTACAGAATAGAAAATGAGAAATTTGAACCAAATTCTACATGTATTTTCACATAATCTTTGCAAGTTATGGAAAAGAAAATGACTCAAATTTCTTGAGATTCAATGGTACCCTTGAGAATTGAAATGAGTACCTGTAAAATATTCTATCAGTCGTACGAATTAGGCAATGCCATTCATGGTTGTATGAGAAAAATAGAATGATTCATAACATAAACTTTGTTCCACAGGAATATAAACAGCCAAATGATCAAGTAAAGAGTCTAAAGTACATGTACTCCATGGAAAAAGTTTCAAACTTGATGAGATGTCCATGTACCTGGACATTGGGTCGTGCTTGAACTGGTACAACATGACCACGCCTCAGGCTCGTTTATGTCGTGCCGTATTGGGTAACTCATTTTTTAAATTTGCTCGACCCAACCTGAAGGCTGAGGATGGTTTGAATCTTGTCGTGCTTACACGTTCTCATGTCAAGCTTCATGAAAAGGAAGAAGATAAAAGTCAATTAAATAGAAGGAGAAAATCAGGCGGGAAATGTAACAAATAAGGGAAAGAAGAAATGTAAGTAACAAATAAGAGGAAATGAAACTATTAATTGAGAATGTTTGAAAAAAAGTAACAAATAAGGGAAAGAAGAAATGTAAGTATGAGGGGAGTGATTTGACCTTCATTTATTTTATAATTGTTCGATCATTTGTATTTATGGTAGTAATTACATATAATATTTAAATTAATATTATACGAAAAATAATTCATTATTTGTGTGTTGTATTCTATAATTTTTGAACTAATAATTCTATTTATATTTATTTTATATACAAAAACTTATGTCCTTTCGTTCTTATACTCAAAGAGGCCTAAAAACAGTAGGCCCGACATGACTCGCTTATAGATTGTACTCGTGTCCGTGCTCATGGAAGTTAGGCCCGACATGGGCCATGAAGTATTTGTGCTTGGGCCAGACTGAACTATATTTTTAATAAGTGGGTGTATTAAGGATGGCAAAGGGTCGGGTTGGGGATGGATAGTGCATATCCGTTATCCTACCCAAAGTAGTTAGGGTTTTACCATACTCATACCTACATAAGAATCGGGTGGAAAATCAAAATCATGCCCATACCCGTTCGGGTTTCGGGTATCCACGGTTATCCATGGATAGTAATTTCTCATTATAACTACAACCAACATGTTTACATTCACAAGTATACTCACATTACATCAGAGGAAAAATACGACAATAAATCATCGGAATGAAGAAAATTAATTAAAAACAATGCAATTTCACAAAAGTATTATACTTGTATGCTAAATATCAAATATGTTATGAAAAATAATGATAATTTCTAGACAAAATAGATATGAATGTGTATAATCGTGCAGGTTCGGGTCGGATAGTGAGAAAATCATGCCCACCCATTACCCACAATATTTGGGTTCGAGTTTTACCCATACCCACTAAAAATCCTTCGGATTCGGGTTTTTCCCTACCCAATTAGGTCGGATTCGGGCGGATATCCACAGTTGCGGATATTTTTGCCATCCCTAGAGTGTATATCATTGATTTGAATCCCTTTTTGTGGGCCAATACAAGAGGGATGTACAGTATAAGAAAGGTGACATGAGGAACAAAATGAAAGCTACTCAACTATAGAAAAGAAACATAATAATTTTAGTTTAGTTATCTCGTCTAAATAGGAAAACAATAGTGTTGTCATGGAGGAGTTCGAGAAACCTCCCAGTATTACTTCCCTTCTGGTCCTTTATAGTTGTCCACTATATGAGAAGGAAAACCAGTCAAGATTGAATCAGAGAGCTGCTATGAACTTCGTCCCAAAAGTTTCGTGTATTGCCATAAGATGGCATGTGGAATCATCATAATATGCTTGGTTGAGTTATCCATGAACGTTAAGAACTACCATTCTGTCCACAAAAGTTCACATCTTTGTGGCAATGGACCTACGATATTGAACATGAGCTGAAAGTAATACCACAACTTTGATGCAAATTGACAATGCAAAAATAAGTGATCGCTAGATTCCTCCACATTTTTGCACATGCAACATCTATTCGGAATCGATGATGCCAGGCTGAACTATATATTTCTTGTTTGTACACTAACGTCTCGTGTCATGCTAGCCCGTAACAATCTGGTGATCAAGTAAGTATTTGTGCTTATACCAGAAAGACCCAATTATAGGTTGTGCTCATGTTCGTCCATGAAATTTAGGCTCGACACGAGGCATGAAGTATCCGTGCTTGTACCAGACTGAACTATATATTTCGTGATTATACTCTGTCACATTCCGTTCTGTAAAACCTTGAAATAATAGTTTTGCTCCGGAACATATTAAAATTTTTTGAAAGGAAGAATAGCATTGTGCCAAGATACCAATACTGAAAATAAACTCTTATAATTCAAAAGCAAAGCCCTAACATTTGGACAAACCTCAATCCATAAAGTCTTAATCTTTTAAATCTCTACTCACTACTCATAATCATAAAGCAAATAACTAAAGGTCGCAAACACTTCTTACTCCGATCCGTGGTTATCCATCCTCAGTATCGCTCACATGGTCCTCCTTTTGTAGCCTGCTCTCTCACTGGATGCTCCTCAACTGGGTGCTTTCTAGCTCCTCCGCTACGACCTGGTGAGTGGGTCGGGGTCAGTCTACGCCATTACTTAAACTTGAAGCACTTACGAGTATTCCCTTAAGTGTTCACCTCAAAACTTATGGAAGTTATTTATACTTCCACCCTTTAAACTTTAACTCTTAAAAACGTGGGAGTTGGAGTTACTCGCCACCCTCAAAATCTTAAATCTTTGACCGACATTGGGATCCCCTCACTAACTAATCCAGCTGCCCAACTCATACGTATGAGGGCTAACATAGGCTTTTCCTTAAACCTTTTAATGAGAGTAATCGATTCAACCCCATAAACCTTAAGAGTATATCATACTCTTCCTTTAAACTTCATGTGATGTATAAGTGATTCATCCACATGTTTCTTAAGATCAAACTTGCTCTTCCTTTAAACTTTAACTGGGGCGGGGGATTGTCGTTAGTGAACTACCTTTAAACCTTTTCACCCTAATTTAATCAGAAGTGAAATACCTCTTAAATGTTGACCTTTAAAGATCAGAAAAACTTCAATAGATAACCATAAATATAAAAGCTTCAAGATTGAAAGCTCAAATAATCAT